AGTTATTAAGTCAAGCAATGTTAGGTTAAGTTATTAAGTGAAGCAATGTTAGGTTAGGTTATTAAGTGAAGCAATGTTAGGTTAGGTTATTAAGTCAAGCAATGTTAGGTTAAGTTATTAAGTCAAGCAATGTTAGGTTAAGTTATTAAGTCAAGCAATGTTAGGTTAAGTTATTAAGTGAAGCAATGTTAGGTTAGGTTATTAAGTGAAGCAATGTTAGGTTAGGTTATTAAGTGAAGCAATGTTAGGTTAGGTTATTAAGTCAAGCAATGTTAGGTTAAGTTATTAGCAAGAAGCAATGTTAGGTTAAGCAATGTTAGGTTAGGTTATTAAGTGAAGCAATGTTAGGTTAAGTTATTAAGTGAAGCAATGTTAGGTTAAGTTATTAAGTGAAGCAATGTTAGGTTAAGTTATTAAGTGAAGCAATGTTAGGTTAAGTTATTAAGTGAAGCAATGTTAGGTTAAGTTATTAAGTGAAGCAATGTTAGGTTAAGTTATTAAGTGAAGCAATGTTAGGTTAAGTTATTAAGTGAAGCAATGTTAGGTTAGGTTATTAAGTCAAGCAGGTAAGGTTAGGTTATTGTTAATCATCACACCTGTACAGTATCAATAACACCTTTTAAAACATTGAGGTGAATAGAGTATCGTTTGAGTCTTATTATGTAAACAACTTATAAATTATATCTTGTTTCCCTTATATCTATAGTTTGTTGCATACTGTTGTTATTTATGTTTATTTTGTACGTTTTGTTGTTGTTGTTTTTTCAAATTATACAGTACATATGCTATTGATGTTATTATTGTTGTTACTAGTGTTGTTATCATTTATTATTATTATTATTATTATTATTGTTATTATTATTATTATTATTGTTATTATTATTATTAATATTATTATTATTATTGTTATTTTTATTATCCTTGTTTTTATCGTCAGTGTTGTGATGAGTTTAATACACCACAGTATACCATCATCAGGCAGCTTCCATCAGCCTACGAGGGCTTCTGGAAACCTTCTGTGCCTCTCTGTTGATATTGTAGACTCTCTTTCTATCACAACTCATTTATATCCCTGACGAGCACTTGTGGAACTTCCTCCCTCACATTGTTTATCCTTCAGCGTAAAATTTCCATCAAATATCTTCAATGTTTGGCAAGAGAACGACTGTAAAATAGGTGAAGAGGTTCGACAACAACAAAATGTGGGTCTCATCTCCCCTTTGGCTTTGTGTCTCTTTAAAAATATATTAATTGTATTATTGATGTATTTTTTACCTGATTTTGTTCTGGTCTTTAGTCATATTTTTTTTATATATTATTGTTCTTGAAAACATTACACGGGCTGCCGCTACGTACAAGCAGTTAATCTAATGAACTATTAATATATTTCTTTATTTCGTTATTAATGTTTATTTTCTCGTAATTCAGACAACACTTCCCTATAACTGCAGCTGATTGGTTACCTACCTTCGGCCTGACCTTGAGTGACCTCCCCACAGGTGTATAGTACCCAGTAGGTGACCTTGGTATGTCACGCAACCTATTTTCTTCACGCCGTCAGCAACAATTCAATAACCACTGAACTCAGATATCTTGGCACTCGCTCATGTGGTGAGTGCCAGGGTGTCATGCTCCCTCCTTCTCCTCCTCCTCCTCCTCCCTCACCCCTCCCTCACCTCTCCCCCATCATCTCCTCCAAGCCTCTTCTTACCCAATACCCCCTACTCACCCTCTAAATCCTTCCTCTTCCTCATCTCCTCTTCCCACTCATTCCACTTTTCTCACCTCCCCCTCTCTCTCCACCACTCCCCCATCCCTATTTTTTCCCACCTCCAACCTCGCCATCTCTTCCTGCTCCTGTCACCTCATCTCACCTACCTACAACCCAACCATCCCTTTCTCCGCCTCTTCCCCTCACCCCTAACTCTCACATGGCCTCACCTTCCTATATCACGGTCACGGGAGAACAGCTCAGTCTTGTCTTGCAAAGTACGCTCTGGCTAAGTCACAGTACACATAGTGTGTGTGTAATAATAATAACAATAATAATTAACGGTTTATTGAAAGAGCTTGGCAGCCAGAAGGCTGAAAATATACAGTTACATATTTGGGGAATGGGTTACGAATTACAAATAATATACAAGTAACATAAGTGACACAAATAAGACATATAATAACTAGATGGGGCAAGCTCAAACTACAGTTCATTTCAACATAGTGACAGTATGGAGAGTGTTTTACTGGGAGTGAATACACTGTTTATTACAAGTATTGATAATTTTACAATGGTTGGGACTGGGCTGTGTGTGTGTGTGTGTGTGTGTGTGTGTGTGTGTGTGTGTGTGTGTGTGTGTGTGTGTGTGTGTGTACCTGTCAGTCACTCGCAGTATTGTTGGGTTCTCGTGTTGGCGTCTCAGGCGGGTCGTTGAGATGAAACACCTGTTACTCCTTGGCTGTATACGTCGACTCCGCTCCTAAACAGTCCCCACTCATGATAATCTCCCTACTGACCTAACCTAGCCCTAACCTAACCAAAAGTAACCTAACCCAAATCCTCGCGCAACCCAACCCACCCCTAACCCAACCACAAAGTAACCCAACCTACCCCTAACTCCAACCAAAAGTAACCTAACCCAACCCTAACCCAACCAAAAGCAATCCCAACCCACCCCTCAACCCAACCAAAAGCAACCTCCAACCCACCCCTAACTCCAACCAAAAGTAACCCAACTACCCCTAACCTAACCAAAAGTAACCTAACCTACCCCTAACCTAACCAAAAGTAACCTAACCTACCCCTAACCTAACCAAAAGTAACCTAACTTACCCCTAACCTAACCAAAAGTAACCTAACTTACCCCTAACCTAACCAAAAGTAACCTAACCTAGCCCTAACCTAACCTAACCGTAAAGTCTGGGGGTTCAATCGTATAAGGGGTCATTAGACTTGTGACCCCATAAGACTGGGACCCTAATTCTCCACGTTATGATGCACACTTGTTATACACCTGTGCTCTACACCTGTTCTATACACCTATAATCTACACCTGTCCTCGACACCTGTTCTATACACCTGTCCTCTACACCTGTTCTATACATCTCTCCTCTACACCTGTCCTATGTACCTGTTCTATACACCTGTCCTATACACTTGTCCTCTACACCTGTGCTATACACCTGTTCTCTACATCTTTACCCAAATTCTACCTTTCGCAACACCCGACAGGTGTCTTTCACTCTGACACACCCGTCTTCACACACACACACACACACACACACATGGTACAGAAATGGATGAGTGGGGAGGATAAATGGATGAAGAAGGTGTAGAGAGAAAGGTAGAGGAATAATGATAATGGGTAAGAGAGAGAGATCTTGAAGAAAACCAAACAATATCGCCCACACACACACACACACACACACACACACACACACACACACACACACACACACACACACACACACACACACACACACACACACCTCACATGAATATTTATGTTAATTCACAGAAATATTTGTATGTCCTTGTGAAATGTATTTAGTTTGTAGATGTTTAATTTATGGAGACTTACCTGTGGAACAATTAGGTCGATAGATAGATGGATAGATAGCTCAGGATAGATAGATAGATAGATAGATAGATGGATAGATAGATAGAGGTAGAGTTTTGGGAATATTTAGTGGTTCTCTTAAGGACATTCAAGATGGCTGCCAAGGTTTATGTGGGATTTATCCTCAAGATGGCCGTGTGTCTGTGTGTGTGTCTGTGTGTGTGTGTGTGTGTGTGTCTGTGTGTGTGTGTGTCTGTGTGTGTGTGTGTGTGTGTGTGTGTGTCTGTGTGTGTGTGTGTGTGTGTCTGTGTGTGTGTGTGTCTGTGTGTGTGTCCTGTGTGTGTCTGTGTGTGTGTGTGTGTGTGTGTGTGTGTGTGTGTGTGTGTGTGTGTGTGTGTGTGTGTGTGTGTGTGTGTGTGTGTGTGTGTGTGTGTGTGTGTGTACGTCCCTTCCAATGAGTGCACCGGCCTACATGTCGACTCGCACGTTGCATATGTTATTTTCAGCCTTACATATTCCTCACTAATAATAAAAATAAAAAACGGTTCATTTTTCCTATGGAGAGTTTTGAGCAGCCGAGAACTAATGACGTAACCCAGCTGGTGAAGTTGTCGTTGGCGTAAACAACATTAAGTTCTTTTAAATATTCCTTCAGACGATCGTAGACAAGTGCCGTTAGTTTGTGTTAATGTGTATTGTCAGTTTGTGTTAATATTCGTGCTAGTTTGTTTTAATATGTACGTTTATCACATATTAGTTGTTCTAGAAGCTGACAGTAACAACCAGACGTGACAGAGAGGCACGCGACTGCCACCGTCTATGCTAAAATTAATGATGATTCCATTTTCTTTGGATATATTTATGTAATATTTGCAGGGGATCCTCAAATACTCTCCCGCTGGTGAACCACATGACCTCGTGCACGTCAACCACATCTCCTCATTCCTGATCAGTAGTGTTATGATTCTCTCTCTCTCTCCTTCGCTTGAACTCAAAAATTCGTTCAGGACACAATAGACCTTCACGTACACACCGCCAGGGCACTAGAGGACCAGTTAAAGAAGCGCCTGTATAAACTGATGCCACACCACACACAAACTTCATCATCCACTCCAGCCCTGTCATTCTCGCGGTGTATTTCGAGCGAGGTTGTTGAGGGTGTCAAGGAGGACGTGGTCATTTATCTCTTGGCATTTGGCAGACGTTTCCGGTTGCCAGGTCTAGCGGCCCAGGAGGCGGTGTTTGCTAGGGTGTCTGAGGGATTAGGCAAGCAAGCATAGGTAGAGGTGCTGGGGACGTGTGTGCGGGGGTGTGTGAGCTGGGGAAGAATGAACGAGCAGTGGTGATCACACGACAGAATTAGAATGAAGACGATTTAACACGTTTGTCTTAATTGGGTGATGGCGTGAGCACCAGAACACCTCTGTATGACCTTTATCCGTGACGTGGCATAGCGCTATTATGGCCGACCATTTTTATGACAGGTGCATGGCGCCAAGCACTGCCCCTCCTCCACCCCTTAGGTGTTCCCCTGCCACCCAACCTTCTTATCCCGCCCCCCTTTCGCCGCCACCCCCGGAAACCGTCCCCTCCACTCCCACACACCCTTCTACCTTCCTACCCCTTGTGACACACCCTCCTTTCCTCCCTCCCTCCCTTACCCCCTCCATCTCTCCACCTTCCCCTTTATCACACTCACTTAACCCCTCCTTCTATCCCCATCGACTGCAACACGCCCGCCACAGCCCCCCCCCCCCCCCCCCCCCCCATGTTCCCTCTACCACGCCCTTCACCCCGTCCCCTCCGTGTCAGCAACCACTGACGCTTGTGCCTTCCCTCACGCCCAGACGAGACTCAGATATAAAAGATGACGGGTGGTGGAGGGGATGGAGCACCACACAGTCGCCACTCCGCCTTCAGGTAGGTCCTAACTACCTCTTAATCCACCTCCAGGTAGGTTCTCACTACCACACAGTTCATCTTCTGGTAGGTACTCACTACCGCACAGTCCACCTGCAGGTAAGTCTTTACCACACAGTCCTCCTTCAGGTAGGTCCTCACCATACAGCACACCTTCAGGTAGGTCATCACCACACAGGGAAGCGTATTTCTTTTCACAGCATTACAGTGTAAATTCTTGTGTTGTGTTGACCATTGTGTTTATGGACGTATCATCTTGTTCATGCCGTGGAAGACCAAGTTGAGGATCTGTGAAGTGTTAATATTGGTGTAGTAATAATTCTCCGAGACGACTATCTAATGAGCGTCCTGTTGACACCAAGGATGAGTGCGTTGTTGAGACGAGGCCGGAGTCACAATGGTTCACAAGTTTAATAGTCACACTGATTTGAGGATGTGAAGACGCACCGAACTGATTCACTAAGGCAACGATGGAAAATGCTACACAAAATGACATAGAACTTAGAGCAAGACTATTGAAACTATTGTAGAGTATTTTGTCTTATCTAAAGTTAAGGGAGACGGAGTAGGGGGGAAAATTAACCCACTGATCTTTCTTAAAACGGTCGAGGGAACTTGGGTTGAAGATATGAAAATTTTCTTATCTAGTATAGAAAATTTCTTAATGACAGATTGAAGTGTGACTGTGTGAGGTGTAAGGTGTTAATAATTCATGGTGTTATAAGCTTAACTTGTGGTTTACTTTATTGTTCTTTGTTATTAATGCCTCAGTTTTATTCAGAAATGGAAATATATATCTGAGTGTATCAAATGTTTCAAATGAATTAATGTTTTTATGGTGTGAGAGAGTGACGGGCCATCTCACCATCACCTCACCATTCCAGTGATCGAGTTGGTGATCGAAGGAATCCTCGAGTTTGAGGTGACCTACGAGGTTCGCTCTCGACCCTCAGCCCAGTCAGCCTCCGCCAGGCCCGCCACACAGGTGCACCTCGACCAGGTGAGTCTAGTTTATATTACCTATATCTTGTGTTTACTTACAGTCGTAGTATAGTGGTAGCATTACTCTCTCTCTCTCTCTCTCTTTGACTGCATATTGTTTTAATTGTTTCTTAAAGCGTGAACAAGACTGACATTCCGCTACTTGTTTCCTTGCAGACAACACCCGCGCCGAAGGTTCGTCCAGTTGCAACAGTCAGGCCGACGATAGTTAACAGAGAACCCGAAACTTCCGTCGAAGAAAACGAGAAGAAAGAAAACGAAGCTGTCAGCTCTACGATCCCTGAAGAGCTGAAGGAGACTGTCAGCTGTAATACAACTCTTGAATCAAAAGAAGTTTCAGACATCCAACAAAGCGATAATTCAAGTGACTGGGACAAAGTCGATGAGAAGGTCACGGTAGATGAAAACTGTAACAACATCCTCAACACTTCTTGTGTGAAGCAGCCGAGCGTCTCTATTCAACAGGAAGAGAATCTTCTCATCAACCAGACTCGTCCACAGAAGGAACAAATACTCCTTAAACAAGAAAAGCCTCACTCACAAAGTGCCGTCACCGAACAAGAATCCAAACACCAGCAAGATTGTTGTGGTTGTCACAGGACAAGTGTTGTTATTAAGCAGGAACCGAAGAAAAGTAAACAAGAACCCAAACATCAAGAAAACCCTTGCTGGGCCCACCGTGACTGCGTGCGAGCACTGAACTCTGCCAACAAAAACTCTGCGGTAGTAAACCTCCACCGTTCAACTAGGAAGATGGAAGGAGAATACCAAGAAGGGTGTCACAACGGTATGGGGTGTGAGGGAGACCAGGGATACCAGATTGACCGTGAGCCGCAGCACAAGGACGTCCCCATCACTGAGTGTCTTGACGGTAAGCTGAGTCCCCGGGGATGATAAATGACATTTGTTTTTGTGTCGATCGATGTTATTAATTCAGATACAGCAGTACAGCAGGTACAGCCGCAAGTACAAATACTGATTCAGAGATATTTAAATGATAAACACAAACACGATTTAGGAATATAATAAATTAGTATTTCACATTAGTTTCTGTACACAACAAGTAAAAGCATGAATCATTTCAGTCAAATTAAAATTACACAGGAATGAATAATGGATACGTAATTACTTTTTTTAGTTAGGTAACTAAGCTACTGAATAATAAATTTATACTGAACATAGTAAAACAAAGAGTTGAGACAGGCGACAGTACAGGAAGTGTTTTATGTGGTCAGAGTTCCTGGACAAGATGCACCTGACTCACCTGGTGGACTACCTCCGGGTGCTGGGCTGCACCTGTGTGAGGGACCTCCGCCTCCTGGAGAAACCTGAGCTTGACGCCATCCAGCTTATCTCCCGTCGACGCCTCCAACAGGAACTCGACTCCCTCAACCTGCATCATGAAGGTGAGAAGAGGAACCGCCTATGACATATAAAAAATACTATATTATATGGAAATACTATATAACATCCTCCTTCACGGGGGCATTATTGACCCTCTACCACACAGCTAGGATGCCCAGACCCGCCCCTACACCTTCTTGAAACTGAAAATCATATCTGTAGGTAAATTAACATAGGATATATAAGCCACAATGGTGTGAACATTCCTGGGAAATGTTTTATGTATTATGAAGATATAGTGAGGTCTTTAAAACGTTCCTCAGCAACACTCAAACTTTTTCTTTCTTTCTTTCTTTCTTTTCTGAAGGGGTTGGGGTGGGAAGGTTAAAAAAAATTTTTATTTTCTACATCACAAACATTTAGTTCCTTTCACACTTTCTCTAATATCTTCTAAGCTAACTCTCTAAATAAACTTGTACCCCCTAATGATCTTACTTACCTTATAGAAAGTATAACTGATAAAATCCTTCATCTTATTTGGAGTTAGAAGATCGGATCCTCTATACCAATGCTAATTTACTACTAGGAATATAAGTTCTGATCCCACCAGAGGTATAGTAACTTATCTCATGAATTACAGGTGATCTGATCTTCTATTGTATATAAGATAAAGGTAATCTAAACCTATTCATAAACCGTCTGCTATCAATAACCGATAACTTACGAAACCCTCCGCTTCCTCCCCCTCCCTCCCTCTCCCCCTCCCTTCCTCTTTGCCCACCTCACTAACTTTTCACTCCTATAGATAACACCTACAGTGACTCTTGCATCTCTCACTCCGTCAAGTTCTCTCCTCTAGAGTCCTCACCTCCTTCATCTCATCTCTCTTCTTCATCCTCCCTCCCTCTGTCTCTTCCATCCTCTAATCTTACTGTGCCTCCGCTGCCACCTTCGTCAGCACCTCCGTCGGACTGCTCCCTGGAGGGTTGGCTCACTTGGTACGGCCTGACACACATCGCCGGGTTTCTCAAGGCCATCGGTGTGCACAGCGTGGCGGACATGACCTACCTGCGGGAGGATGACCTACAGCTGCTTAAGCCCGTCACCCGTAGGAGGATTATCGCCTGCCACAGGAAGTGAGTCCCAGGGGTGTTGGAGGGTGGATGATTGTGAGTGAGAGGGTGATGGAGGGTGGATGATTGTGAGTGAGAGGGTGATGGAGGTGGATGATTGTGAGTGAGAGGGTGATGGAGGGTGGATGATTGATGATGGAGGGTGGATGATGAGAGGGTGATGGAGGGGAGAGGAGAGGGTGTTGGAGGGTGGATGATTGTGAGTGAGAGGGTGATGGAGGGTGGATGATTGTGAGTGAGAGGGTGATGGAGGGTGGATGAAGGCCTAAGACAAGGAGAGGAGGATGGTGAGACTGATAGGTGGAAACTAAGGAAAGGAGAGATAGAGTAGAAGGATAAGTGAGGGAGAAAGACGAAAGGAAGGGTAGAAAAGAATGGAGAGTGAGGGAAGTAGTTGAGGAAGGAGGGACAGTGACGCAGGGAAGAAGAGAGGTAGTTTAGGAAAGAAGGAGAGTGAAGAAAGGAAGGAAAGAGGGAGGTAGTGAGGGAGAGAATGGCTGTGAGACCTGCAACCACTATAGGTATACTGCTTCAGGAGGGAGGCGAAAGAGGCCACACAGTGAGGTAGTACTGTACAGGTAGTCGGGTCCATTGGGAAATTATGAAAAATTTAAGTGAAATTTTCTAAACCATATGACAAAAAAGGGCCATTGTGAGGTAAATTTAATTAGCAATTCTTCTACCTGTTTGAATACGTGTTTGAGAGCGACGTGTGTGGTCGAATGTGAGGGAATGTGACGTGATTGTGTTGTTCAGAACTTTATACATGAGCCGTTAATATGTGTTTATAGGTGTTTCTCTCTAATGGTTTTATAAGTTAAAATAGTGGTTTATTTTTATTTGTATTATAACTTTTGTTGTATGAGTGAAAGGATAAACACGAAACGAGTAATGATATGTTATGTGTTGCAGGTCAACCTAAAGAGTCACAATGGACTTCCTATAAGGCCAGCGTGTTTGGCTCGACCCGTCTAGAAGCCGCTTCGACTACGTAGCACCCCTCTCTCTCTCTCTCAGGCATCGTCTCTCGCTACCCTCGATGTCCTTATAAATACAAGAGAAACAAAACAAATGCCAGAGAGCTACGAGCAGTGAGTCTCTAGACGTGGAGGATTAGTGTTCATCGGTGGCGACAACATCATCCTCACCTGTCACCTGTAACAGCGAACAAGAGGCGCTCTGTGGTCTACCCGAAATCATAGCTCAGTAACCCGCAGAGTTTCCTTCTTCATCTTGCTTCTCTGAGATTTTCCTGTGTAAAATTCATAGTAGGAATTTATATATATATATATATACTGTAGTGTATATGCTACCTTTCTTATGCCGAAATTGACTCGAAAGTGAATCTCTATTGATATGTTTATCAACTATGTACATTGACAGACTTTGTGAAAGATCTTGTTGTTCTGCTGATAAATAAAAACATCTCTTATCTCACACTCTTACACCTTGTCCAGCACACGTCAGGCGGCCCTCAACCTTGTCTGTATTGCTTGGTGTAGGTGTTCCTCGCCGGCTTAACACACACACACACATATACATGCTCTCATGATCAGTCATACCTTTATATTACAAGCACACACACACACACACACACACACACACACACACGTCCTCCGTATAGGCAAACCACGTCTCTGCTCGAGGATGATAGAGGACGACCCTTGAGGACATGTCCCTCCAATGGTCGGTGTTTCGTACCCTTTTTGGGGTAAGAAGGTCCATGATAAATGACTTTTGAAGATTCTCTCTCTCTACATCACCTCTTTACCCCTTAACCCTTTGAGGACGAGAGGGTTAACCCATTGTCCTTAAAGGGTTAAATCATAATCTTCAAAGGGTTATGCCATCTCCCTCAAAGAGTTAAATAATCGACCTCAAAGCGCTAAATTATCGTCTTCAAAAGGGTTCAGTGGTCATAACTCTGGAAAGATAATGTTAAGGATTTGTAGGATGTTGCTAGAAGGTGATGTTCGCCCTCAACAAGTATGATCTTACATCCTGGCAAAAAAAAATAGTTTACGTGTTCAGAGGCAAGAAAACCACACAGGAAAATAATGATTCTGTCAGGTCAAGATACCCTGAAGAGATGACGTGCACCTTCAGGAAGTATAATGCAGCTCTAAAGAACACACCTTGTTTACCCGTGGGAGAAAGTACAGTATGTCTTGTGAAGTACAGTACAGTGAGAGTTGATCCGAAGGGCAATGTGGATATAGTACACTGAAGCCTAAGCCTTTGATAGACAGCGAAATCATGGCCGACACTGCACCCTATGCCGCTTTTCATCTCCCAGCTGCAGGGTCGATTCTGGACTCAAACTAGAGGACGTTAGGTCAGGCAGCAAGTATTAAATCTACTCAGCCACTGATGTAATGGTCCTTGAAAATTTATATTCTTAATTTTATACAAACTTAATCTACCACCACCTCTACTACTACCATTACCACTACCATTAGTATCACCACCACCATTAGTATCACCACCACCACCTACCATTACCCCTACTACCCTAACCACCATAACTACCCCAAGAATGTTACTACTCGCATCCACCACCACTGAACCGGACCTCCACCACTACCCTCATCACCACCACTACCCTCACCACCATCACCAACACTACCACCATCACCAACACCACCCAATGAATGTTACTACCCGTATCCACCACCACCACTTCCCCGTGTAGGTTACCAACTTACCAACCCTCCCTCCCTCCCCCCTCCCCTCAGCCTCCAGCACACACCTCAAACAACCATTACAAAAGATAATTCCATAAAAAATCAATAAAAACTCCTAAAAGATCCCACATGCTATGAGCCCATCAGGTGTTGCCTTATAGCGGGGTCCCAGGGCTTGACCACCAATAAAAGTAATCAATGAAATTCTATTGAAGAAATATCCACAAATTTCATCTTTTTTTCAACAGGAGCCAAAATCACGAGGAGGTCGGGGGTGGGTCTCTGGCGCGGGTCATTGTAGTTATCCCAGGGTCGGGTTCTGTTACCGGCTGCTGCCTCTCTTTCTTTGTCCCTTTTCACTCACCTCAATCATCAGTTTTTCCCATTATTACTATTATCAATCCTGCCTTTGATTTCCTGTTTTATTTGATCTTGTTCTAAAATTGCCCTGTGGGGGAATTTTTTTTTTGTCTTATTTTCTGTTCGGTTATTCTTCATGTCAACAATGAGATTTGTATTTATCGTCATCACCTTCTCGTGTGTTACAAATTGGCGGACCATCTGTGGCGCGGTGTGGCGGTTCTTGGTGAGGAGCGTCTCCGTGTGGCTGCTGGTCTGGCGTCTAGTGGAGAGATGAACGTCAAGATAGTATGTTCATAAACCTTTTGGCTCTTGGGGGTTTCCCTAAGCTGGTTAAATCGTCTTGTGGTAGCCAGAATAAAATTTTAAAGTGCGACATTCGATGCGAAAGGTGCATCTCAGAGATCTTGTGGAAAGGTGAAGTTAGAAATAGTTTGTCCTTGATATAATAATAATCTGGTAAAATCAATAACTCACTCTACAAGTTTTATAATTAACACGGCAGGTATACACTACAGCACGGGTAGAAGACAACACAGGTATGCGGCATATATGGGCCATGCAGGTAAACATTTTCTAATATACCTAGACAGTACAGGTATATAACAATAGTAAACAGCCATTACAAGTCGACCAATGACAGCCAACAAAGCCATCAGATGCATCTTGTTGGTTTGGGCTATTGAGGACTGGTGGGCCGACCTTACTCTTACAAGTATACCCCATCTGTTCACTGTGATTCAATTAAATGGAAGCGATTTAATTCGTATCATACCGCAGAGAGATGAAGGTACCTAACCTAACCTAATCTAACCTAACCTTACCTAATCTAACCTAACCTAACCTAACCTAATCTAACCTAATCTGACCTAACCTAACCTAACCTAACCTAACCTAATCTAACCTAACCTAACCTAATCTAATCTATTTCACATCAGGGTGTTTAATCATCAGGTGAGATAAGCTGGAATATCACATGTTAATAATCCTCCTCATCTCCTCCTACACACTCACCAACGCACTCTTATTACACCGTTTACCTCCCAGTGTTTCCTCCTTCCAGCAACTCAACACACTATGGGATTCCTTACTGCCGAGTGAACGTTTGAACAAGTGAACTCTTATTGTCTTGTAATTAATCTGAATATTAATTGTGATTTTATTCTTGATTTTTTGTCTTTTTTATTTGCTTTTTTTTTGGGGGGGGGGAGGAGGGGGAGTTGTTAATTACGTATATTTTATGTTTAGTGTTTGGGTTTTTGTTATCGTATTTTTTCTCTTATTTTAACCTTTATTCTGGTTGTGTTCTGTGCCATACCTAACCTAATCTAACGTAACCTAATCTAACCTAACCCAATTTAAAATTACCTTAAAATTAGCATACATAAATTGAGAACCACACTCGGGGTCGGTAACCTGCAGTCTATTCTTAACACCTCTCTTGAGACCAAACACACACACACACACACTGGAACTAATTACAGCATAGAGATGTAATGTAATTTTTATGTAATGTTGTCCTTTATATCTTAATCTTACGCGTCAGTCAATAAAATTCATTCTTAATCTCTTGTTTGGGAAAAAATTATCATACGAAGCTTTGAGAATCCCAGACACTGGATTGGTCGAGTCATGTGTTGACAGGCATTGGAAAACCTCTATGATGTCATCTCAGGAAAATAAATAACACGGTCGTAATATAAATAAAACTGGTATAAAAAAAATCTGAATATCCATAAATAATTAGATTTAGCGATGAAAAGTTACACCACCTTGCAAAATTTATCAGACTTAACAGAATGAGCTTGTAAATAGCACATCGTTATAAAAACAATCATATTAATATTCAAAATTGTTGCATAAGAAAATAAACTGCAGCTCTTTCCTTTATAAATACAATTAATACTTACCTAACACAAGTCACGAGACACTGTGGAATAAAATTAGTCGGTTATTCATAGTCCCCTTAAGTTATATTCATTTACCTACTTGTAACATTTTGACGAGACGTAGAGTATAATGGGAATAAGTCCTTAAATAATATCTACATCAGTTTCATTCTTAAAACTACATTATTATTATTATTATTTCTAAAGGTCAATGTTCTTATTTTATTTTATTAATTCTGAACATTTATAAGGGCGCTTAAGTTTAGATAAATTTGTATATGACGAATATTTTTTTTTATTATTATTATTACAGCTGAACTTAGATCGATCATGAACACAATGACCACAATGTTGTATAATTTGTTAAGCTGTTTATGGACATCCAACAATCTGCCCGCATCTTGATAATTGTACGGAACTTGAAACTGCAGACGTTCACCCGTAAGAAAATGATCTTACCTGTACTTCATTATATAATCTTAGACTCTTAAACTGACCTCCTACATTCTTAGAATCTTTGAGACTGACAAGGTACAAACAATAAAGGTTGTTGTACAAGCGCAAACAACAATGGCGGTGAGTGGATGGTGTAAGCAGCCTAGCGTTCACTCTCCATCAATCCTGCTTTTGTCTTAACTGTGATTGACGTCCCAGATATGCGCAGTCGTGTGAAATGTCCTTTGTTTTAACTTTCGCAATCGTGGGGCACCTGTGTCTACCCCTAACTCTTCATATTCTCAAGAACGTGGAGAGAATTCTTCAAGAACCTACAAGTACCGTCGAGGCCCCCCTTCCATTTGCTGAGGTTCCCATGGTCTTCATGAGAGCTCCTCCCTTTCTCGTCCACTTCATCACCATTAACATATCTTTATTTGTCTTATACAAGCTTCATCTTTCTTAAAAAAAAATTCATATATTTTTATTTTAACCAATGCAACGTATGAGTGTTTAATAGCAATAACTCAAACGTGACGACAACTGGTAAATCAAACTCCCCCCGTGTTAGTGAGGCAGCGTCTCGAGGCTCCCTGGTAAGGCCTGGGAACAACTCTCCAACTTGAGCTCCACGGTTAAAAACAATGGCCCCTGTTTCTGGTCAGTCATTAATTACGCTTTCCTAACATATTATTCCTACTTGCTACCCCCGATTTGTCTCTTTTAAATCATTTGTCTCTTTGTTTGACGCTCGTAATCGCCCTTTGTTGAAGCGATGATTGACAGACTGGTCTCCGCTTGAGGGTAAGGTTACCAGACACCTCCACCTTCATGATTTTCATCTAGTGAATAGTTCTTATTTCTTAATTTCTGGTACAAAAACAACTAATTTACTTTTTAAGTGGCTTACTGTCACCGTAGATATATAACGTCAAGGTAAATAATGTCACACTTGTTCAAATACGTGTATATATCTGAGTACAGGCATCATCTTACCCCCAGCTGACAACCATATTGTTCTCTGGGAAACTGTGATCGCTGATTGGTTGTCGAGGACCCAGTAA